GTGTGTGTGTGTGTGTGTGTGTGTGTGTGTGTGTGTGTGTGTGTGTGTGTGTGTGTGTGTGTGTGTGTGTGTGTGTGTGTGTGTGTGTGTGTGTGTGTGTGTGTGTGTGTGACTGTGTGTGTGTGTGTGTGTGTGTGTGTGTGTGTGTGTGACTGTGTGTGCGTGTCTGTGTCCGTGTGTGTGTGCGTGCGCGTGCGCGTGATGCACTGCGTGATGAGTGTGTGGTGCATGTGCTGTGTGTATGAAGGGGACGACCGCGACACTTGACCGCGATTACAGATATCACCCAGTATCACGCAGTTCCCACGAACGCAGCACCTTATCTGTGGACACACTGAGCTACAATTTTTTAGCTTCTCTGCACATTCGGTGCAAATTGCTCAACAACTGATCAATGATGCGACGCGACTCGCTAGCCATGATCGACAAAGCAACGCGATTCGCTGGCCACGATTGACGGCGCGACACGATTCGCTGCAAGCATCAAAAATTAAGACATTATGATTAATAACACAATTAACGAGCACAACAGTTGCGGAAAAAACGAAAGCAACCCATCGCAGGAACGCACGGGAACCCTCTGGCCGCTGGCAGAACCGCGAACGTCTGTAGTTTCTACGTAGCGCTGTCGCCCAACTCCGCCAGGGACGTCCGGGCGACGACAGTGGCGACGTCTCGTGGCTGGGCGCATTTCCCACGCGGTGTAGCACGGCGCGCATCAACCACACCGATCACGCGACGAACAGCGCGTCACTGATGAGATAACAGATAGATCAATTTTTGTCGAAGCCGCATCTGCTACATATATATGCAGAGCGCGAGCGAAACAACCAGTATAACGTGCAGTTACGCACGCACGCTCGCACAACCGAGAATAAATATCCACTCCGACGACGTCATCGTCACCGGAAAAAAAATCTTCCGTTATTCCGTCGCCCACGAATCGCGTTAATGCGCAGGAACAAAAATGGCGAAGATGTTGACGGTCTCGTTAAAATTTCTCCGCCTTTTCTCGCGGGCAGTGGCGAGCGTCCTCACGCGATTACGCGATGACGAATCTAACGCGATGATAGCGATTACACGAGAGTAGCCATTTCTCCGATTCTTTTCAGTGCGCAGTAGGATACAACCGAACGAACGAACGTTTTCGAGTTGAAAAGCTGCTACACAAAAACTTTTTTTTTTAACACTAAGTGCTTCCTACAAACAGCTACACATTTTTCACTTGTACCCCCCCCCAAAAAAACAACAACTTGTAAATGCTCCGTTGAGTATTGACGTATTAAGAACTGCTCTTATACAGTACTGCCTTGTAGATCAACTAACATATAATTAAACTTGCTTCCCATACAACGACAGACAGCAAGGAGTCAAATCCGACTAACGCTGACGAATTTTGCAAGCTGCACGTTCGGCAACGATAATTTTGTAAGGCACCTGCAACAATCCCACGAAGAAACTCAGCTAAAAACTAAGCGATCATCACCTGGAACTCACACGCATTTCCTAATCCGCTATAAACCACGGTGAAACGTGTGGCGCAGATGAAAATTGCAGAGATTTAGGTTAATGCTATCGATTACGGCATTTACGACCCGTCTTCGCTTGCAAATATCATTAAAACTACTCGCGAAGCCATTACTAATAGTCTTCATGCGCGCATCTTACGGCGTAAGGTCGCGGGTCAACACCTGCAGGCGTAATGTAAACTAAACACATCACCACCCCCTCACACACACACACACACGCGCGCACGCACGCACGCACTCACACATACATACACGCACGCACGCACACACGCACATACACACACACACACACGCCCACACCACGGGTAGCATAAAATGCTCTCAGATTCAGTAATGACCACATGATCGCGCCGCGCTGTACTCTGCTGCTGCCCCCGCTGCTGCTGCTGCTGCTGCTGCTGCTGCTGTGCACTGTAGCCGTGCAGCAAGCATCTTGGAGGGCTTCACGACTTGTCAATAACTGAAGCAGTGTTATTCGCAGCCGGGGGAAAGGTACAGCATCGGCGACCGAACGATTTGCCGCCGCCGGCGAGAGAGACGGATGCATAGCTCTGCGTTGACCCTCCACCTCCTCCTCCACCTCCTCCTCCTCCTCGTACGCCACAACCCTGGCGCTGCACCCCCTCCTCCGTGCGCTACGCATCGCGACATGATGCGAGGTGCGGGGGCCGTAGCGCTAGTCCGCGCATGGACACGTAACCACGATCATCCCGTGTGCCGGAAAAGCTTCGCGGATGACCGAGACGGTCCCCCGAACCCTTCATTGGATTATTTTGCTCGTTTATTGTTTCTCGCACCTTGCTGTCCGTAATTGTGCTAATAACGGAAGCAGTCAACCGCATAATGAGCTTGGTTTAGGCTCAGGTGTGATTCACATTAGGTTAAGAGCATTATGTGTGTGTTCTCCTATAATCCTTAATTACCTGTATCGCTATAGGATGCAGCAGCTAGACTGCTAGAGCATGTCAGGATTAGAGACTAGAGAGGCTCACTTGCATATATACATTATCATACAGGGCACGAAATTAGCACCGGCCCACCGGCATATGCCGGCAAATTATTTGGAGGGCCGGTAACATTGGCAAAACACTGCGGCCTTCCGAGCCGGTGGTTTCAGCCGTGTTAGCGAGTACCTACATTTTTATTTGTAGCATTAATGAGCAAATAGCCATTAATTTACTGTTTTACGTAAAGGATATCACGCCATAGTTTATCAACATTTTACAAATTTGAAATCGAGAATGCAAGCGTGAAACACGACATTGAATTTACAAACAAAATTTGTGAGGGCTGGTAAAAAACTGCTGTTACCAGCCCTCTGGGCCAGTGCAAGAAAACCTGAATTTCGTGCCCTGTATATATATATATATATTATATGCACAGCATTTTATCATTTTTAATAAACCACACTGCAGTGACTGTGACTGCACAAAACAGACGTTCTATGCGCTCACACACGCGCGCGCTATGCTAATGCAGCGTCACTTCGCTCGTAGTTATTGATGAGTGAACTTATGCACACAGAGTAGGCCTGCGAGTCACCTGCGAAACTAGATTGACATGCCTTTCATTAGCACCTCCGCGTTAAAACGCGCATCTACCTCGCGTCAAACGCACCTCACGAAGAGGCAAATTTTCCGAAGCCACGAAACCCACTCGCGGACTCACAGAACGCTCGCGAAGAACATACGTATATATATGGCACATCGCTTTTAAACGTACGTTCCTGTGGAGTTAACCCTGTCCACCTTTAGTGATTGACAGGTAGTTCTAGCCAATCAGCACATTGAAGCATTCTAGAAATGCTGCTTAGCAACGAAGAGAAGAATTTAGGACGTAGACCGTGAAAAAAAACAGGTATAAACTCGTCTAGCTTGACGGACTGGACGAAAAACATCCAACACAGAGTCGAGAGAGAGAGAGAGAGAGAGAGAGAGAGAGAGAGAGAGAGAGAGAGAGAGAGAGAGAGAGAGAGAGAGAGAGAGAGAGAGAGAGAGAGAGAGAGAGAGAGAGAGAGAGAGAGAGAGAGAGAGAGAGAGAGAGAGAGAGAGAGAGAGAGAGAGAGAGAGAGAGAGAGAG